TAAGACAAAGAAAGTCACCACATCGTCGATATATTATATACAATTCTTTACGAAACCAAACACTGGGGCTTGTTCACCGCACATCGCACAGGTCACCAGGGAATGCCTTTTCACTTCCGTAATACACAAATTTGGTGACACAGAAACGGTCCGAAACACACAGAGTGTGTGTCATGGAGAGGGGTAGGAAATAAAAACAAATAAATAGGAATTAAATTGCCTAACTCCGATCTTAACGAAAATTGCGTAAAAAAAAAAAAAAAAAAAAGTATTTAGGTTCGAGCGGTGGCAAGGCGATAGGTCCACGCCTGGTGGAGAGTCAGACAAAGAAATCGACGGCACGTAAAGGTAAAACAACAAAAAAAAAATCAATAATTTAATAAAGACTCGAAAACTCAGCCGGACATGGCAAGAACAAAAACCAACTCCTCCGGGCATTCCCTAAACGGGACGCAACCAAATGCGTGCGAACACGCTCTCTACAGCACCGCCAGGCCGCTACGCTATGACGAAATAAACCCAACAACTGAACAGTGCTAACAAACAGTTAGTAGGAAAACATTGAAAAAAAAAAAAAAAACGTTCAGAAAAAACCGCACCCGAGAAACAAAGTTCAGCGGGTCGAAGAAACACACACGAGTCGGCCCCACGACATTGAAGTATGGCAGGATGACGGCGTCCAGATGATGCTCGAATCTGTTCCTCCCTCTATTATGCACATCCACGACGGCTGTGCGGAACAGTGGATGTACGAAAGAGAGTGAAGAATAGATTCGAGCAGGCGATGCGCGAGAAGGTAACCGAGACTATGCTTCAAGCTTCATATCGGGAGAGGAGCTTTCGAGGTAGTTTCTGCAGTTACTCAAACTTTCTCTTTCCCCTTCCCTTTTTCAAAAGAACACGTCAGCCGGCGCTAACGTTTCATCTCGGGAGAAGCCCACTCTTCACAAACGGTTATAGTTGACAAGGAGGCTGACTTCGACTTCGACCCAACTAGTCTCCGTGCAGAATACAAACACAAGTATATTTACCAACACGCTCGTTTTAATGTCAGTCTCCGGGCTTTGCTGTTTCCAAAAGAGATAACCCTTTATAAGGACAGAACGAGCGGGTTGGCGGGGATAACTAAACTTAAACACTCCCTTCTCGTTTTCTTCCTCGAGTTTAATAGATAACCCTTCGGTGCTATCGGATCTCCCCGGAGAGAGAGAGAGAGAGCACGGCCGTTTTAAGGTAAGGATAGGGCGCTCGAAGCTAGGGCAAACAGGCGGTATCGTTTCACGCATGCACGGATGGCTGGTTTCAAATTTCCCCACATCCCTAACGAAACCGGCCCATCTTCGTGTGGGCGTCTGCGGGATTTCTGTCCCACGCCGCCGGTTTTAGCGCGCACGCGGCATTGTTTTGGCTGGCAGAACAGTTGTTGACCGTCGACATTGTAAGGCCGTGGTGTCCTCATCCTTTCAAGCAACGATTCCTTTGCTTTCCCTTGTACAATACTCTGACAGACTCCTCCTGGGTGGCTGTCACTGTTCGCCGCGTCAACGACACAATCCTACCATTTCACTCCTCGTGACACAGGGTGCGCTGCTCGCTTTACTGTCACGGGCCGTCCCATCTAAAACAACGAGCGCGAAAGGTCATGGTCATCTGCTGGCTCCGAAAGGGCGGGACGTTCATGGAGGCCAATGAGGGCCCCGAATCAATAAGACGTCTGCCGACTCCTACGCGTTAAAAATTTACGACACCTGCTGGTCTGTTAAGAAGTGTTGCTTTCTCTTTTTGGAACTCCTCCGATGTAGCTTGCCGCCTATAATAAAATTTAAATAATCAATAAATATATGAGGGTGGAAATACTGTATTTCATTTTTATGTGGGAACGTTGAAGAAAAGAAAAAAAAAATATTTCCAAGCTTGTGAAGACGCGCAATTCCCAAGTCCATTTCGAGCCGTAAAAACACGTTTTTGTACGATATTGATGCTTAAATGTAGAACATACAAACAAAATATACACTTCCTAGGCTCAATTTTCGTGTAGACAACTATCATATCTACATTTGAACAAAAAATAAAAAAAATAAAAAATGGGTTTTTTGAGAAAATCAATTTCAAAAATGGTACTTTTTGGTTTTTCCATAATATTAACGTAAACGTACCGCAAAGGATATTTTATACAGCCAAGGCATTTTATAATAAATGTAAAGAGCGTGTTTTGGGCTCTCCGTGGAAATAAAAAATATTGATATAACCCAAGTAGATCGCCAGTAATTAATTGTCAAAGTTCGTCAACAATTGACCGAGGAGGCGTTTTTTACATTTTTACAGAAAAAAAGCAAAAGGCCTAAAATCATTTCATGGTATTGGAGCCTTTTAAATGTGTCCACAGAGTGCTTCAAAAAAGATAATATAATGTGGAATGAAAATCCATGGCGGGAGATCAAGCGAAACATCCGACCCACGACGGGTGTGAAAAACACTGCTTTTCGCCGCGGCCTCTTTGAAAATGCATAAGTCGAGAACAAAAAATCTGTTGAACTTGCGGTTTGTGTCGACTGCGGTTTTAGAAACGGCGCCATAACATATATTTTTTACATCGAAATTAAAAATTCGACCCTTTTTGCCTGCACGATTTGAGATGAAACCACCCATATATATATATAAAACTGAGAAGAAAAAAGTGAAAGCCGTTTACAACTCCCTGTAACGCCGAATTAGAGCGCAGCTCTTGAGGAGGAGGAGGGAAGGGTACTGGGGGGGTGAAGTGACCTGGGGGGTCACGTGACCTTGAGGGGTCACGTGACGATGCCGATGATGTCATTAGTGACGTCACTGATGACGTCATCAGTGACGTTGACGATGCGGACACCGATGACGTCATCAGCGATGCTGACGATGTCGGTGACGTCATCAGTGACGTCACTGATGACGTCATCTGTGATGAGGACAATGACGATGCGGATGCCGTTGACGTCATCAGTGACGTCACTGGTGACGTCATCAGTGATGATGACGATGACGATGCGGATGCCGGTTAGGTCATCAGTGACGTCACTAATGACGTCATCAGTGTTGATGACGATGACGATGCGGATGCCGGTGACGTCATATGGGAGGTCAGGTGACCTCGGCGGGGGGTCACGTGATCCTGGGGGTGGTCACGTGATTTCGGGGGGTGTCACGTGACCTCAGGGTGGGTCACGTGACCTCGGGGGTCACGTGACTTTGGGGGGGTCACGTGACCTCAGGGGGTCACGTGACCTCAGGGGGTCACGTGACCTCAGGGGGTCACGTGACCTCAGGGGGTCACGTGACGTCAGAGGCGGTCACGTGACCTCGGGGGTGTAACGTGACTTGGGAGGGTCACGTGACCTCGGGGGTCACGTGACTTGGGAGTCACGTTACCCTGGGGAGGGGTCACGTGACCTTGGGATGACCTTAGGGGTCGCGTGACCTTGGGATGACCTTGGGGTGAGCTTGGATACGCCGACGGCGACGCCAACGGCGACGGCCACGGCGACGGCGACGGCGACGGCGACGCCGCTCAAGCCGGGAACGGGCCCCTAAGAGCTGCGCTCTAAAAAACCCTTAGTGAAAACAGCAACAACGGACGATTTAATCTTCGACGTTTCGGTCGGAGTCCGGCCTTCGTCAGGAAGGCCGGACTCCGGCCGAAACGTCGAAGATTAAATCGTCCGTTGTTGCTGTTTTCACTAAGGGTTTTTTTCTTCTCAGTTTTATACCCACGCCTTCGGCCTCCCGCCACCATGCCCGTTATATATATATATATATATATATATATATATATATAAGTCGAAGATCCGTACTTTCTGAGTTGCTATGCTTGGAAGTTTATGTTATGTATTGCGACAGTTTCGCCAAGAGGCTGGGATTCGTCAGGAGATAGCATATACATATGTACGCCATCTCCTGACAAATCTGAGCCTCTCGCGAAACTGATACAATAAACTCCTCGCATAGCAACTCCGAAAATACGGATCTTTGAGTTATTACATTTTTTCCGGTTCATTGTTCTCAAACCAATCTGCCTCACATATCAATACACATATATATATATATATATATATATATATATATCTGCGTGTGTGTATGTGTGCGCGCGCGTGCGCGTGTGTGTGTGCGCGTGCGCGTGTGTGTGTGCGCGTGCGTGTTACGGACAGTTCCTTTGATCACAGAAATGAGCACTGAAGAATTGTGTTGTCAAAAATTTTTGAAACGCCTGCTGGACTGCACTTCGACCTTGATACATCTCACGTCGTCGTCGTACGTGATTCAGATTCACCGTGTTTTCACCTACTCAAATATTTCGGAAGCGAGCTCCAAGGGAAGGCGCTCGCACTCTCGCGAATCTCCAGCGTCGATCAAAGCTGTGGTGCGGGCACGCTTCGCTTCCAAAATACCACAAAACGTTGACGCCGAGAAGAGAAGTTTCGCCGATCGTCACCAACTTCATTCAACGCCGACGCGCGCTCCCTCAGAAGGAACCACTGAGTCCGAGAAGTCATCGTGTCGTCTGCTAGACAAAACCGGCTGTGAAACTTGATTACGGGCTTTTGTCATCGCGTTATGGTACTGAGACGAGAGTAAAAGTCTTCATGATTAGATATTGAGAAGACACAATGCTGACAAAAATTTATTTACTTTTCTATGAGACAATTTGTAGCCTCAAGTTGATCGCCTATAGCAACGAACGGCCCTAGCAACGGTTTGTTTCGAGCGGAGCGCCATGTTGTGACTTCCTCATTTACAGGGTCAATAAAGCAGTGTACCCAATAAATGTTGCACTTTTCCTCCATCTCTCGGCGTTACCAAGTTTTCAATTTTCGCGCATGCGCACAAAAGTCAAACTTTCGCTAGAAGTCTGAAAAAGGTGGCACCTTGTCGAACTCGATCACGGGAGGTTTGGAAATTCCCTTTGATGCAAACGGCGTAACAGGTGCTTCGCACGCTTGGCTCTGAGCCAAGCGGTTTCCGGCGCATTTATCGGGCGCCGTTGTCGCTGGGGGGCGTGTCTGCCCCGTCCTCCTCGTGGACGGCCGAGGGCCCAGTCTGCCGATCGCGCGCTCGACCTCAGAAAAGTTTGCGCAGTCGAGGAAGGCGGACGTGATTGCAGCCATGGCACCCGTGCTGGGATACTGGGACATTCGCGGACTGGCCCAGTACATCCGCTACCTTCTGGCTCATGCGGGAGTGCAGTACGAAGACAAGAGGTACGCAAATACGTCGGTTTCCGCCATATCGTATCTTTGTACTTAAAAATCCCGTTTTTTTTTGTGTGTTTTTTTTGTACGTTTGACAAAGCAATACAAAAAATAATGTCTATGTTTATACAGCCGGAAGTTAAGTCAACGTGAATGGGCGTCTTGTGTATAGATGTAGATGTGGACGTAGCTGTAGATGTAACTTTGCCAGTGCAGTAGTACCGCTAGCCTGGGGGTCTTTAACGTGCACCGCGCAGTAGTGATACACGACCGCATGCCGGTAAGATGCTTCATCCAAATCAAAAATAGGCAGGGGTGGGGCTGTAGTGCTTTCGCTCCACGTACCCCGAGCTGGTGTGCTCTAGCCCACTGGGACTCCGATCCCCCCCAATGGTGAGACTTCTATGTGTGTTTTTTTTATATATACATATTGACGTCCGCCTCTAGAATTATACGCTCCAGCAGGCCACGCCGAGGTGCGACCACTTATTGATTACATAAATGGATCGTATCTCCAGTCCAATCCAATATAAACATGTAACTTAGCTGGAGCAACAATTGAACGTATCGAAATTTACGACCTAGGAGACCGGCGAGGAGGAAGGGCAGAGAACCTGCCGATGGCCTGCTCGCCCAACGGTCCGAAGACTGCCCGAAGGATCCCGGCATAGGTGCGCGGCTGCAGAGGCTCCGCCGACCGTGCAAAGCAGCGCGACGACTTCTATGCCGACTTTTTCGTGAAAATGGCCATTTCGGGGAGGGGTGCGACACATAGACTAGAAAATACGCTACTTATATTCACAGCTGCCCTTTTTGCTTACTAAAACCCTGTGCTGCGGATATATCTATATATATTTTATTTTAATTATCTTCGATAGCCGTTTGAATGACATCTTTCCCCCGAGCGGCCGCCATGTCCAGGAGTAAAAGCAGCCGTTCACAAACGTTTGCTGTGCTGTGCCAGTTAATCCCGCTGTTTAACCCCATAAAAAAATGTGTACATTTAGAAGGAAGAGCTTGCTAAAATTAACCGTACGCCCCCTAAAGCATTTACGTATATGATGCATGAGTAAAGAAAAAGTAAGAATAATTATGACACCACGACTTCCGGTTCCGAGCACGCCCCGTACGAGTTGAATGTTATTTCTTTAGTGTGGCATGCATTTTGACCGCTGTAAAGTATGCAGGAAAAGTTCAGTGCTAGGAGCTTTAATAAAACCAATAAAAAACTGGGTATATCGTCTGGTCTAAAATTGAACGTTTGCAGTGGCTTTAAGCAACACACAGAAATAAACGCCCTCGCCGCTGAGTAGCGAGGACGGTTTTGCTACGGGTGGCTTCCGCCTATATCTCGAAGATATGGTAGCATTTCCAGGTAAGGGTAACAACGTGAGTGCCGGCCGGCCGCAACAAGGTGCAGCGATGGCGATGTGGGCAGTACAAGCCCTTGGACTTTTTACTGGTAAAATATCTATACCTGCTTACTGGTCCAGAATAAAATGTTAAGGTCCATAATACACACTGTTAAACAAATGTAGACTGTTTCGGCGTGCACCCGTGTAATGACTACCGCTTGCAAGGACCCCATGTTAGTACTCGCTCTGCGCCGTAAACAGTCGCCCTCTACAGCGTACGCAGTAGGCGCCATTATTTGGCAGCCTAATTCCCCGCTCTCTAAGCTGATATGCCGAAAACTTTAACCTGTCTGAACTTACGCAGGATTTGAACCTTTGAATTGAGGGGGGAGTGGGCGGGGGTCTGTGGTTGAGTGAGTTAAAGTACCGCAGCTCGGAGCACGTGGAGCGAAAGCTCGCGTTGCAAAATCCGGGGATCCCGGGTTCAATCGCCACCCCTGCCAGTTTCGATCTGGACGAGCCTCGTCCCGGCCCTGCAGTGGCAACATTTCTTATCTCCGGCGGAGACGAGCCACCACCGGAATAACTTCCCGCTGGTTAAACATACACACAGCCCTATTACCATTACCTTCAGTGCATTCTTTGTGATTAGATTGAACACAAGGGTTGGCACGCATGCGTAGGAAATTGCGGAGCAGGTAGCGGACCAAAATGGCGGGCCGGAAACCAATGAGACAATACGACAAAGCTTTTGGAAACGCTCGACAGCTCCCGTGCCTACAATGGGCAGCTCTACGTAGGTGCGGCATTCGAATTAGCCTCGCTTCCGTTCATGCACGGCAGCGTGCTCTTTGTCCTTGAATGCGTGCGTTGGCTCAATGGCGCAACGCATGACTTTGTTCAAATCATTCATAAAAAGCGCCGGCACTTCGGACGCGTAAGACCTTGGCCCATATCTGCGCTCGTTTTCCTCTCTCGCATACGTGCCGCGTGTCTTGAGTCGTCTCTATCTCATTCAGTGCACGCTATAGTCGAGAAATTCTCGAGCGTTATTCGGCATGAGTATTTTACGGAGATAGCTGGTACGAGCTTTTCCCGCCACTGGAAATACCGTCCGTCGATGATGTTGATGTTGTAGCTGGCGTTGTAGGGCGTCCGTTCTCGATGTTGCCAAATGTTTCAAAAAGATTGCCCGTCACGCGCGCGGAAATCGAACATGGTTTTGCGGCGTGCCAGGCGGAGGCAATACCACTACGCTACGCCGCTACTTTTTTTTTTTTTTTTTTTTTATGCATTAGCATGAGGGGTTTGGTACATCCGCTGACCTTGAAATATATATATATATATATATATTTTTTTTTTTTTTTTGGCTGAGCTACGCTACACCATTAACAACAGACTTTAAGCTTGGGGGTTTTGTAGTACCCAATGCCCACTGCAAGCGCTCGCAGGAAGAACATTTGCCGATAACAAAATGCCGTTGTCGTACAGTGTACTAGAATAATGGGTAGCGTTTGGACCGGCGCGGTTCGGCAGTGGGAGCTTGTGAGGCTGCGCCTGTGGACAAAAAACGAGGCGCTGCAGTCGACAGGGCAGCAGAAACTCGCTGCAGCCCGCAGGTGCAGCCGCGCGTGCTCGTGCACGCGGAGCACGCGCACAACCACCACCATACTGACCCAACTGCCGAAGCGCCGGTGTCGACACCTATCGCGATCCACAGCACACGCCTCACGCGAGCCGCTCCGGTCCCAACACTACCCTGTATTCTAGTACACTGTAGTTGTAGCACTGTCAATGCCAAAAGCTCGTGCCGGTCGTGCAGGGGAGACGCGCTTTCACGCGCTCCGGGACAAAAAAAAAAGCGTTTCGAAAAAATTGTCGGATGTCTATTTTTGTTTTGTGAGCTTTTGTTCACGCACCCCTGGTTGAGCGAGGCGCCGCCGATTCCCGACTTCGCCGTTGATAAGTTGTCTTCCGGTCAGCGGCGTAGACTTTCCATTTTCCCGGGGGGAAGGGGGGGGGGGGGGGGGGGGGGGGGGGCGCGTTACGTTCTTGTTAGAACTGGAGATGGAAGCTAACAAAAGCGCACTAGGATTCCATTTCCTATGTATTTTCTCAATAAAGGCAACGTGGGCGTTATTTTGTTTACATGCCACTACTAGAAGCTCGTTCCATGGCACGCAAACAGCGTCTCGGTAAGGATCATGGCCCCGGCCGGGGGGGGGAGACTCTCCCCCCCCCCCCCCGTGTCTCACCAGGGGAGGCAGGGGCCCCGATGCACCCCCCCCCCCCTTTCCCCGTAGTCTACGCCTATGCTTCCGATAGAAAATGTCAGAAAGACACATTGGTTGCGTAGGTAAGCATCTGGCGTGTCCACATGGCTGCTCTGATGGGGCTGGCCTTTTATTGGAGATATAAGCGACAATACAGGGTGGTGCTAAGAGCAGTACAAACAATACATAACAGCCGTGACTTATCGCGGCTATTTTTGTGACTGTCCTGTGGTACAGTGAACTAGAAAAAATGGAGTGGGGCGAGGTAAAAACTCCGCACATGCTTTCAGTTGAAGCCCAGAATGGGGAAAGTTGGCGTGGTGGCGCTGCGATCGAGGTGGCTTGGTTCACCTGAATTTCGGGCGTAGCAACTTGCTTAAGTTGGTGATGGTGGGAGACGATTTCGCCCATTCTTGGTTCAAATTTAGAGCCGAGGAATTTAATTTTTGCCACCCTGACAGCCTCGCACTGCTGTGGCAAATAAGGTTTCACTGCTCAGAGTAAATACTTGGTACATATCTGGCACATTAGTCCTTTCTATGCAACGAATCTAATCTAGAACCAGCGAACTGAGCCAAGGATTGATGAAATGGTATTTAACGCAGAATTTGCTTTATCAACCGATTTCTATAAAAAATGCTTTTCGTTCCACCGCCAGGCTCGACCGTTATCCTCAAGTGTTACGCATGATCGATACACAGGTTGTTTTTGCGAAGACTTTCAAAAATCTTAAAAATTAGGGCGTTTATAAAAACAAAAAAGAAACTGTCTTCGGGAACAAACTACCAGCCACGGCGGACGTCAGGAATTGCCAAAAACATACTAATTATAGCCAGCTGATTAATAAAAATTGTTAATTAACCTTTTAATTAGCGGAAATAGACATATGGTTCCAATTAGAAAGTTGTTGAGCGTTATCGAAAACCACTACATCAGCAATTTTCAGAAAGACTTTGAGCGCGTAAAAAGAGTAGTAGCGCACTAAAGTTAGGATGGTGCCAGGTCGGGACGCACTATCAAAACTCGCGGTGAGACATGGTGGTATACAAACAACATTAATTGTGCCGCAATACCTTGTAAACTAAAGATTTTAGAAAACATCACGCGCCTTTTATTTTGTACTATTCTTCAATAAATGTTCCTACAAAAAGTTTTTCAGACTGTTTTTACGCTAATTAAAACATGCTTTCTAAAAGGTCATGGGGACCACAGTGAAGAAAAAAGATTGAGCGTCATCTTGGCACCTCGAGCTTGGAAGTGTCTGTACTCTGGGAACATTCAGTGACTCTTGCGGTAGCCATCAAGGTTACTGGAGCAAGCTCAGTTTCACAGCTCCGCCTACGACGTGGGCTCAGTGGCGGTCACGAGAACTAGCAGCGCT